AGTGGTAGTACAGGGTAGATGTTTCTAATAAAGTGGCCAGTGAGTGGAAATACAAGGTAGTTGTTTCTAATAAAGTGGCCAGTCAGTGGAAGTACAAGGTAGTTGTTTCTAATAAAGTGGCCAGTTAGTGGAAATACAAGGTAGTTGTTTCTAATAAAGTGGCCAGTGAGTGGAAATACAAGGTAGTTGTTTCTAAAAAGTGGCCAGTGAGTGGAAGTACAAGGTAGTTGTTTCTAATGAAGTGGCCAGTGAGTGGAAGTACAAGGTAGTTGTTTCTAATAAAGTGGCCAGTCAGTGGAAATACAAGGTAGTTGTTTCTAATAAAGTGGCCAGTCAGTGGAAGTACAAGGTAGTTGTTTCTAATAAAGTGGCCAGTGAGTGGAAATACAAGGTAGTTGTTTCTAATAAAGTGGCCAGTTAGTGGAAATACAAGGTAGTTGTTTCTAATAAAGTGGCCAGTCAGTGGAAGTACAAGGTAGTTGTTTCTAATAAAGTGGCCAGTGAGTGGACGTTTTAAACAGGCTGTTTTTGTTGCTGTGGCTTTAAGACTGAGGTATATGAACAAGCTCTGTTCAGACTGACTGCCAGGTAATTAGCACTCAGAAGGTGAAACACTGCTTAAAACTTCAGTGTATTCAAATTAAATGCAATAAAAATAAAAGAAATGTTAAAACATTATTTTGATAGTGACTGTAACTGTTCACCTATACTAACATTTAACTATATGTAATTTATCTATATACAATTAATACAATTATACTCATTTACAACTATCATTAAACTATATACAGTTTCACTACTTCACACCAATTAGAAAAAAGGACATTTTTACTTATAATTCAAAATGTAGCTGTTGCACATGAATGGATTAATACTAAATATTAGAAGAGGCTTTGCAGGGTGTTTGAGTGACCTAAGTTAAGTGTGTGAGAGTGAGATCAGTGCTGGTGAGCGGTGGGGTGGGGTGTGCAGGTGCAGTGCGTGTTAAGCTCAGCGGAGGGTCTCTGCTCCGTCTGCTGCCCACCCTCAGATCTATTGTTATGCTGATTAAGGGAACAGGACACATAGCTTTGTCAAAGATGGGGGGGGAGGGAGAGAGAGAGAAAGAGTGAGGGAGGGAGAGAGAGAGAGAGGAAGAGAAATAAAAAAGAAAAAGGGGAGATAGAGAAAGGGTAGAGGGAAAAGAAAGAAAGAAAGAAAGAAGAAGGGGAAGAGGGAGAAAGGGGGAAAGGAGAGAGAAAGGGAGAAAGGAGAGAAAGGGAGAGAAAGAGTGTGTGTGTGTGAGAGAAGGGGGGAAAAGAGATAGAGAAAGAGAGATAGAGGGGAGAGAGGACTAGAAAGAAAAAATGGAAGACATAAAGAGAGAGTGTGAGAAAGGAAGAGAAAGAAAAAAGAAAGAGGGGAGGTAGAGATGGGGAAAGGGGAAAGAGGAAAAAAGAAAGAGAGCGAGGGAAAGAGAGAGAGAGAGAGAGAGAGAGAGAGAGAGAGAGAGAGAGAGAGAGAGAGAGAATGATCAATAACATGAACAAAACCAAAGAAAAAGGGAGTTCCTGGCAGATCACTTAAAATGTGATGAATTGTAAAGAATTCTTTGAAAGTTGTTTCCATAAATGCCTCAAATGTACTGATAACAGTTTATTTTGAGAGTCCGCTGTAGGTTCCCAGCAAATCCTTTCACTTTGTCTTTAACGAACATTCAACTACTTATCTATTAGATGCGAAAGATGTAAGTGAATCTAATAGATTTTACTAAATCTAATCCTAAATCAAACTGTAACCCTAAACTAAACCCCAACCGTGACAGAGAATAATTATCAGAGATTCATCTGAACTTTAAATGCTCTCTATAAGACTAACAATAGAAAGTATTCAATCTGCGTCACACTTGTTGCCGTCGCCAGTAACACTTTACTGTAATATTCTGTTCATAAGACTACATGACACCTACATATCGCTGCTGTTGGAACAAAACCTCGTATCTCCAAAATGGTAACTTTACAGGAGAAGGAAAAAACATGCTTTACTGTTAATGTAAGCCAATGGAACCAGAATTTTTTCCAAGTCATTTTGGGCTGTTCCCTTTGGTCCATTCATCATGGCATTTACCCACAATGTAAAGAGTAATGGGCATTTTCAAATCATGTCAAAAACTGAAACACAACAAAAATGGACATACAAGGTTTTGCTCTGACAACAGCGATAAGCTTGTCATGGCAGCTGACATAACCCTACATACATGTTTATAAGCGCTTATTCATACAGGTGTCTATCGCTATAACGTTTATATTTGCCAATTTTGATTTAAGTTAGCTTAAGTAGCCTTTCTGACAGATGACATCTGTTGGAATAAGCATTTATAAACATTAATAAAACATTCATGTAAGGTTATGTCAGCTGTCATGATGAGCTTATGTAGGTGTCATATAGCCTTAGGGACAGCACCCTACAGTAAAGTGTTACTCTGTTGAATCTCCATTTTTGTCTTTGACATAACTTGAAAGTACATTGTCCTTTACATTTTATGTAAGTTTCATGATGAATGGACAAAAAGAAATGATCCAAAATTACTTGGAAAAAAATTCTGGTCCGACTGATTTACAGTAGAGTATGTTTTAAAGTCTCATTCTGGAGATATAAGGTTTTGTTCCGACAACAGTGTTATGCTGTCTAACTATATAACTGTTTATGTCTAGATCTCTTGCCCTTTAGCTAGACAGTGAATGCAGTTAATGCCAGAACGGTAGCAGGACTCGTGTTGGTATAAGAAAACAGTGATGAACTCCATCAACACAGATACATCACTATTACTCATTTTTGCGATCATGACATCATTTGATGGTGTGGTTGATGGTAAAGACAGAATACAGCTCACTCTTCCACAGACGGAATTAATAATTCTAGCGATTTCTTTGCTTTTAGGTTCTGAGATGTGTAGACTGATGCAGTATTTATGGTAATTATAGGTGTCTAGATATGTTATGGCAGGCAATAACACATCGTCAGGGCTCAAAGATAACATATTGATTTGTTATGGATCAACAGCTCTGATCAAACTGACTTTTTCTTCATATCTTTGGAAGTCATAGCCGGCATTGACTGCTCACTCACATTATGCTGAAGGAATTTCAAAAATGTGGCCGTGGAAGGCTTCTTTCAGGTTTTCCAAATGCTATATACACAAAGTGTGACCCAATTTAACTCCCTAAATGGCCAGTTTATTACATTTTATCACACGCTTCTATAACCTAAGAATAACTCCAGTAGCCAGTTTGCATTGAAGTCCATGTAGTTACTGAATAATAAGCCTTAGTATGTAACAAACTTGGGATTTTAAAAGGGTAACTCAAACAGCTTATTCCATACCATTCCTATTAGTAACATTCTGTATACAACACTGTGAGAAGGACAGTGAATGACCAAACAGATACCTTCCTTTTTATTCTTCCTGTTATAATCATCTGAATTTGAATGTCCAGCCAGTTTTACAGACACTTTATACCTTTCAACTTTTTTTTCAATTTTTCATCCCAAGTTTAAAAGGGTGAAAACATTTCATTTATTTCATTTTCAGCCGAAACAGCCTTTCAGTACAAATGCATTTTTCAGCCTATATATCGCTGCTGTTGGAACAATATGGTGGTGGTGTGTTACTGTGTGTTGTGCTGGTATGAGTGGATCAGACACAGCAGTGCTGTTTGAGTTTTTAAACACCTCAGTGTCACAAACATCCAGCCAACAGCGTCCTGTGACCACTGATGAAGGACTAGAGGATGACCAACACAAACTGTGCAGCAGCAGATGAGCTATCGTCTCTGACTTTACATCTACTTGGTGGACTGACAAGGTAGGAGTGTCTAATAGAGTGGACAGTGAGTGGACACAGTGTTTAAAAACTCCAGCAGCACTGCTGTGTCTGATCCACTCGTACCAGCACAACACACACTAACACACCACCACCACGTCAGTGTTACTGCAGTGCTGAGAATGATCCACCACCCAAATAGTACCTGCTCTGTGAGGGTCTATGGGGGTCCCATAGTGCTGAGTCATCTTCTCACAGTGGAAGGATGGACAGAAACACCTGTGGATGTTTTCAGATCTGAAGCAGCTTGATTTTCTCCTCTCTCTCAAAGATAAAAGCTGTATGTGCTGTTTATCTGATGGGGGCAGGTTTGGTGGGCTAACAAGTTGATAGGAGGTCCACTGAACTCCTGTTTTTGCACTTATTTCACTTATTTACTCTTCCTCCTTCCATAGGCAAGTAAATTATCTTGTTTATCATAAATATATCCTGAAAAATGAATAACTAAAGAAATTAAGGGAGGTCTCTTTTTTCTGTCTCTGACTTTTGCACAGTCTTGTGTGTGTAGAGGTAGATAGATAGAGAGAGAGAGAGAGAGAGAGAGAGAGAGAGAGAGAGAGAGAGAGAGAGAGGGAGAGTCAGACAGAGAGAGAGAGAGAGAGAGAGAGAGAGAGTCAGACAGAGAGAGAGAGAGAGAGAGAGAGAGAGGGAGAGTCAGACAGAGAGAGAGAGAGAGAGAGATAGAGAGAGAGGGAGAGTCAGACAGAGAGAGAGAGAGAGAGAGAGAGAGAGAGAGAGAGAGATAGTCTGTATGTATCCCACTCTACCCCCTCCTCCTCCTCCTCCTCTTCCTCCTCCTCCTCCTCTACGTCACTGGCTCCTCCTGACAAAACAAGCCTCCATCAGCTGGACTCCCACACACTCTCTCTCGCGCGCGCGCTCGCAACAACACACACACACACGCTCTCTCAAACACACGCTGAGGAGGCGGCGCGTGCTGAGCTTTACACCCCAGTCTCCTCGCGCTCTCTACACTATAAAATAAACACAAAAACAAAAGATAAACAGCAGAACGAAAGGAGAAGCGGAAGAACAGAGAGCTGCCGGATTCAGGACTTGGACAGCTCCCGCGCGCACGAGCCTCGCTGCACTCCTCCCCTGTGCAGTTTTTTTTTCTTCTTTCTTTTCTTTTTCTCTCTGTTTGCCCCACTGGTTTGACCCCCTCCGCGCGGGGTTACCATGGCCACCGTGCTGCAGGGTCAGAAGCAGCTCCTGGAGAAGTTGTGGAAAGGCGCGTGCAGAGCCGTAACCACGCCCAGGCCTGAGAGCGTCATCATCGCGAGCATCGCCGCGCGCCGAGCACACAGCAGCGCGTGAGTTCGACACCTTTAAGTCCTTTAAACACGATGCGTTCCACAAGCTCACTGAGTGTGTGTGTGTGTGTGTAAGAGGAACAGAGATGCGCGCGCGTGCACGTGGAGAGAGAGAGATAAACAGAGAGAGAGAGAGAGAGTGAGGGACAGAGAGACAGAGCGAGAGAGGGGGACAGCGAGAGAGAGGAGGAGAGAAAGGGATGGAGAGAGAGAGAGAGGGTAGAAAGAGAGGGAGAAAAAGAGAGAGACTGACTGAGGGACAAAGAGATGGGAGAGAGAGAGAGAGAGAGAGAGAGAGAGAGAAAGAGAGAGAGAGAGACAGGAACAGAGCACAAGACAAAGACAGAGAGAGAGTGAAGGACAGAGAGAGAAAGAGGCAAAGAAAGAAGAGAGGAGAGAGAGAGAGAGTGACTGTGGGACAGAGAGAGGGCAGAAAGAGAGAGAGAGAGAAAAGAAAGAATGACTGAGGGACAGAGAGACAGAGAGAGGGGGAAAGAGATGGGGAGAAAGTGACTGAGGGACAAAGAGAGATGGGAGAGAGAGGGAGAGAGAGGGAGACAGAAACAGAGCACAAGACAAAGACAGAGAGAGTGAAGGACAGAGAGAGAAAGAGCCAAGGAAAGATGAGAGGAGAGAGAGAGAGAGAGAGATAGATAGAGAGAGAAAGTCTACCTGTTTGCATGAAAGAGAAAAGGAGATTCACGCACACATTGACTGAAGGACAGAGTGACACGAGATGTCTTTATGTTTCCATGAGGGAGAGAGATAAAGAGTTCATATGTCTGTATGGTTGATGGCACTGGTCACACTGTGAGGTCAGGGACAGAACCACCGAGGACACAAGGACTCCAACTCATACCAAAGGTATTGGATGGATCTCCATCACGTCAGATAACGCAGCTCCATTGCTACACAGCCCACTGCTGGGGGGCTTTATACTCCTCTAGCCCCTGCTTAACATTGGGCAAAAATATTTCACATTATGCTGTGGAGCAGTGGAACCACATTCTGGGGAGTGATGGAGCTCAATCTAATACCTTTTGGATGAGCTGGAGTCGTCTTTGTGACCCACAACTAATTATCCAGTTTCAGTAAATCCTCACAGCAATGTTCCAACATCTAGTGTAAACCTGCCCAGACGGGTAGAGGCTGTTACTGCAAAAAAAGGAGGAGAAATTCCCTATAAATACCCTTCATTTCAGTTGAAACACTAGATCAGCAGGTGTCCACAAACTTTTGGACAGGTAGTGTATCTGTGTTTGTGAGTACATGCTGCACTACCGTCTCTGGGTGCCGGCAGGCGCTCTGTGTATCTGTATGAAGTTTGTGATTCCCCGCTGCTCTGCTTCTCTCCTCCTGCTGGTCCTCATCTCTGAAAGCTTGATCCTTTATCACACACACACTTGTTTATTTTCACAAACAAGACCACCACACTCGTTCGTCCAGCGCTAGAGGCTCCCGTTTCTGCAGGGCTGCCTCCAGCAAGATAAAACCTCCCATCAGAGATAGAGACTCAAACTCAAGTGTCACATGTTGACTGAGTCACAACTCAACCTGGACTTGTCCTTAACTAACTCACGATTTGACTCACACTCACCCATAACTGACTCACACCTCGACTCAAATTCACTGTTAACTGATTGAAGACTCAGCTCAAACTCACGCTTAACTGACATGTGACTCGAACTCGGCCGCCGCTGACTCTCAACTTAACTCTAACTCACCCTTAATTTACCCATAACCCGCCTCCCTTATCTGACTTGTGACTTAACTCAAACTTGCCCTTAACTGACTCACAACTCGACTCAAATTTGCCCATAACTGATTCGAGGCTCAACTCAAACTCACTCTTAACTGACTCGCAACTCGACTCAAATTTACTGTGAACTGATTCAAAACTCGACTTAAACTCACCCTTAACTGACATGTGACTCGAACTCACCCTCAGCTGACTCTCAACTTAACTCTAACTCACCCTTAATTGACTCATAACCCGCCTCCTTTATCTGACTTGTGACTCAACTCAAACTTGCCCTTAACTGACTCGCAACTCGACTCAAATTTGCTGTGAACTGATTCAAAACTCGACTCAAACTCACCCTTAACTGACATGTGACTCGAACTCACCCTCAGCTGACTCTCAACTTAACTCTAACTCACCCTTAATTGACTCATAACCCGCCTCCTTTATCTGACTTGTGACTCAACTCAAACTTGCCCTTAACTGATTCACAACTCGACTCAAATTTGCCCTTAACTGATTCGAGAGTAAACTCAAACTCACCCTTAACTGACATGTGACTCGAACTCACCCTCAGCTGACTCTCAACTTAACTCTAACTCACCCTTAATTGACTCATAACCTGCCTTCCTTATCTGATTTGTGACTCAACTCAAACTCGCCTTTAACTGACTCATATCATGCCTCCCATAAATGACTCGTGACTGCACTCGGATTCGCCCTGAAATGACTCACAACTCCACTCTGATTCACCTTTAACTGACTGACAACTCATTTCTCTTAACTGACACATGATTCAACTTGAACTTGCCGCTAACTGACTCACAACTTATCTCTCTGAACTGATTTGCAACTTGATTCAGATTCGTCCTTAACAGACTCACAACTCGGCTCCCTTAACTGATTCACAATTTGACTCTGATTCATCCTTAACTAACTCACAGCTCAACTTCCTTAACTGACTCGTAATTCAACTCTAAATTGCACCTAAGTGACTTACAACTCGACTCTGATTCACCCTCAACTGATTTGCATCTCAACTCAGACTCACCCTTAAACAATTCATGACTCGACTCTGACTAGCCCTAGATTGACTCATGACTCGATCTGGCCCTTAATTGACTCACAGCTCAACTCAAACACACTTTTAGCTGACTCACAACTGTCCACAGCATGTCCACTCTGACTTAATAGACTTAATAGACCACTGACTCCTCAATAGACTTGTGACTCAACTCAAACTCACCATTAACTGACTCGTGACTCGACTTGGATTTGCCCTCAACTGACTTGTGACTTGCCTCAGACTTGGCTCACAACTCAACTCGGGCTCACCCTAATCTGGCTAGCTCCTGGACTCATGACTTAACTCGAACTCACATCTCTACTTTGACTCCCCCTTAAATACGAACTTTATTCAAGCCAACTGTTTCAGTTTGTTAAGCTCTTTCCTTTAAATGCTTGATTTATTGCATGAAGCGCTTCGGTTCCATCATTTCAGACTGGAAGATTTTCACGAAAGGCTCGTGTCGAGCCTCACAGGTTTTCAGTAGAACTTTACTTTTATACTATGCAATGACTCGACTCGAACTTGCATAAAATGACTTGTGAACTTCTCTGACACTCCTAGTGTAGGAATTCATTGATACACAGAATCAGCATGAACAGCTTTCACCAGATCAATACATTTTCACATTTCTCAAATAACATTAGTCTCACTTCTTCTCTCGCGGTTTCTATGAGCAACATTTTGTAAACAGACTCAGCTTGTGTCTGTGCTGTAAAGACATTTTCATTTAATAACGCCAGCAACCTGAAGAGTCATAAAAAGGAAACGCAGCAATGTGTTTCAAAAACAAAATATCAGATTTTGTTTAATATGTCGTTTAAAGTCACATCACAGTGGATAACACACATGGGTGACCAGAATGGGTTTCCTTATTCAGATCCAAACACTACGGCTATAGCAATTAAAGCCATTTTGCAAGACCCCCTTATGCTACACTGACCAAATACAGTAAATCACTGTGAGTAAGATATATGGGTAATACGTTAATGGAATGTTTACAGACATATATTCTGTATATTGGATAAATGGATTGCATACTACATGATCCATCCCCTGGACACTCGGGTGAACGTCAATAAAAGGAGGCTACTGATGCTGCTGCTTCAGCACTGGGTGGGCAAGTGGTACCGATTCAAGAAGTGTATGTGAACAGGAAAGAGACTGTGTCACATTATTTACAAATAAAATCATATTTCACCTCAATTTACTAACATTAGGTGCTTCCTCAGTCCACTTACTGCCACTCTTTCCATCCCTTTCTGTCTTTTCTCCATCTCTTTTGCTGTTGTAGTCTCTATTCCTTTCCTCTCTTTCTCTCATTCACCATCTCTCCATCGATTCTCCTCTAGTCTCCCTCTTTCTCTCTCTCTGTTCAGCCATCACACTCTGTACATATTCATAAGTCTGCACTGCCTGCAGCCTCTGAGTGACACTGATGTTGATGTAAGCCGGACGCCCACATTTACAAACAAATAAACGAGGCTAATCCCACTGAACGCTGGACCGCCAAAGTAACGTCCAGTTTGGTCTTTCCTGCTGCGTTTGCTGCAGGAGAAGCGCATTTCAGACCGTAGCTCTTTCCCTGTTGATGGGACACAAACTAAAGCGCTGTTAGAGTGGTCAGTGTTTTTCTTTACGCATCAGTTTCGTTCTCCGCTCCACTCTTAGACAATTAGCTAACATTAGGCTTTAGTAAACAGCCTCAGAGAATAAACACTGGATGATGGACAGTTATAACCAGAACAAGTGCTGTTGGAGTCTCTATTCTTCGCCTCTGTTTTCCTCACTCTCCATCTCCCCATCGATTGTCTTCCAGTCTCTCTCTCTTTCTCTCTCTCTCTCTCTCTCTCTCTCTCTCTCTCTCTCTCTCTGTCTCTTTCTCTCTTTCAGTTCATGGCACTTTATTGGCCATAATAACAGCATATTTTCATTGCCAGTGTTTGGGTTACAAGCAGCATAAATACTAAAGAATAATAAAATAGGAAATTTGAAATTCTGTTAAAACTAAAAGAGTTTTTTGTTACTGAGGTAAATGAATAAGTTTGGAAAGTTCTGCTGAGGATGATCCATCACCCAAATAATACCTACTCTGTGGTCCTGTGTGGGTCCTGACCATTGACGAACAGGGTGACAAAGTATGCAGAGAAACAGGTGGACTACAGTCTGTAACCTGTAACTGTAAAACTACAA